CACCACTGAGAAGTGATTCTTTTGAATTCTTTGGTGCCACCTACAGTTGGAAAGCCACCATAATTCCTGCACCCTATCGCCGAGACAGTGATCTCAGGATTCATTCATGAAAGACCGCAGACGACCAGAGTTCACTTGGCTTGTCTAGAGATGCAGAGGAGCTGACCAATTGCATCCTGCGTGCCTCCCTGACCTACGTTACCGTCAAATACTGACGCCCTGCCCATAATCACTTCTCTTTATTGTCTTTCCATCTTTACTCTGCGGAACCTCTGGGTTGAGTGCACGACTTCGGCCCCTGCTTACTGAAACAGCGCTAACATTTTTCCACTTTGTTAGTTACTGGAACGCGATGGAAGTCGGTTTCTTGTGGTGCAGGAATCCAGTCAATTGGGGTCACCTCTCCCGCAGCTGTGCTCGAGTACAGTTCTGTGAATCATATTTTCAAGGCTAAGCCCCTCCCACTCCCCTCGATGTTGGACGTGCTCACTTGTGGATTTGGAGGCCACAAATGGGCACGTCTCACACTCAGTGCTGGGACATTTCGTGTAACAAATCTACCCAACTCTAGCAGAAACGCTATTTTTGAGGCTATTCACCTTGAAGTAGGGGTGGAGCAGAAGGCATCTGGAAGAGTCCTTGCGCAATAGCGGTAGTAGTTCATCCGAACAGACAAGCAACATGTTCGCTGTGGATGCTGGGCGTGTCAGGGGACAGGGCTGGGTTAGGCGCAGCGCCGGCTTGTTCTCCACAAACTGTTTCCGCCAGCCCTTTTCAGCTATAGGCGGAGTACGAACTGACGCCGTGAACCCAGCCCCCAATCCCTGTGAAACGCCTCAGAATCCGCAGCGAACAAGACTCTACATTCCTTCAGATTACTCCGTTAAGCCCTTCCATCTCCGTTCCCTTTCAGGCTCGGACAATAGCCCTAATCTCTATTGCTGGAATCTTAGTTTTTCACAACGAGTCCTCTGCACGCCCCATTTCCGGGTTACGAGGGCCAAATTTTCTACCGATGACTCAGGGTGAGGCCAAAACTGATTATGGGAATCTTGCGCTGTTGTAACCCCACATTCGCAAACCGTATTTGAGCAAAATGGGGTTATAGGGTCGGTTATACGTCCTAAAGTCAAAAGGCAGTAAAAATAAAACTCAACGAAAAAACGTTAAGAGTTTGCTGCAACACTGCTGTACTTATATAGATTTATTCAAGAAAAAAACAATACAAAATCCCAAGTAGCAAAATAACAAATACCGTTACACTCGTGGCGGCCATGCATTAAACACAGACCGGGAAAAAAGTAATCCTAAAGAATGTTACTGTTACTAGTTCAACGTTTCTTGCAACGGCGGTAAACTTCAGCGTAAGCCTTAACACACTGAACGCCTGGAACGTGGGAGACTGCAATCCTCCTCCCGCCGTTATCCAAGAAAAAAATCAAACCAAACACTCGCGTCGCGAAAACAGTGTCGAAAATGAAGAACGGCAGTACGGGGAAAGAGTGCAGTTAAAATCATATGCACACACATCAAAATGTTAAGGCGTAGTCGGCGAGTGCTACAATAGTAACTCTGTTCTCAGTTCTGGCGTTGACGATATCGCGTCCACCGTAAATACCAACGGAGGGGGGGGGCGAACTGTCACACACCTTGATAATTCCAACTGTCGGATATTTAAACTTGAACGACGTCTCCCACTCGTTGGCGGTATCCTAGAGCCACATATTTTGAAACTTCAAAACATCAATGGGTGTTAATACAGCAAAATGAAGCAATCTTATTTTCTGCTGCGAAGGATAGGGCGTGCCAGGCGGGACGATGTGTGGTGCAAAGCAGCTTCGTTCCGGCAGATGTTGCGAAGAAGGTAAAAGCGACAAACATTCGGTGGGAAAACGACTGACAGGAGCGCTATGATATAGACTTGTCTTTCGATCGCTTCAACAGCTTAAAAAAAAGGGTTTGGCGCCACGTAATCCATTCCGCCTGACAAGGCCAGGCCCGATCACGCAGTAAAGAAAAAAAAAACTGGCAGCACGCTGAGGGATGAAGGTGCTAGGATGTGAGCCAGGAGAATGAGGATTTTTGCTCCGAGGCCGCCAAGAAGAAGGAGGCTCTCAGTGAACCCTAAACCATTCGGGCAAAGCAAAAAGCAAGCTGCCAATTTTTCTCTCTGGCAAGGGCCAGAGTAATTACTTGCGGAGTGTCGGTCATCTGATTAGACCTTGAAATGGGGAAAAAAAAAGGTGGAGCAAGAAGAAGAGAGAGGGACTTGAGCGCGCAACTCCGGATGTACGCAAGATTGAATGATGTTCTCCTTCGAGCGCAAAAACTGCCGTTTTAAAATGCTAGTTGGGTGGCTTTGCGTCAAAATGTTCGCTACGTTATTGAATTAGGGCAAGTCCTACCGTAGGGGAAAAGTTTCTGCAAAATACGACCTCCTCCTTCAAAATTTCCTTCTCTGTTCAGATTTCCTTTCCCCATCCTACCCACCATCTTCCTAAATTCTCCGCACTTTTCCCCCAAGAAACTTCCGTCAAGCGATTCCTCCAAAGAAACTACCATCGAGTGGGGGAGGTGCACATAACCTCAGTAAGACGGGAAAAATCAAAAAAGCCAACAACAGAGAACATTTTACTCAAAAGCAAATACGAGACCCTGCCTCCAGCAATCAAATACGACCCCCCCCCTGAGCATACCCAACGTACGACGTGCCCTGAATGGATTAGCGTTCATAATAATACACCTGTAGGTACGCACCTTCTGATCCGCAGTCAAATCTTCATGATCGTCCCACTCATCTCTCACATCCTTCACATCCATCGTCGATAAAGCTCTAGTAGCATCTCTTCCAGCTAGAGCACCATATGGACCACCAGGACCATAAAAATTCCGACCACGTGAGACGTCATAGATCTGAATCGAACGATAAACAAGCGCTTATCAAGGAAGGGCCACAAGCAATTCCGTCAGTGCTGACGAACAAAGGGCGCAGTTTGGCGATAAGTGAGCGAGGGGGGGGGGTAGGGGATTTGCCTAGCTTCACAGGAGTTCACAGGTTTCACCAGAGTGAGACTTGTAAATAGGAACTAATGAAGCTGCGAAAGTAGAAAATGCTTCCCCGCCGACTGCGCCGAAGAAAACTATGAGAATAAATGCTTCATAACTTACTGTTCCATTCAAGGCAAAAAGGATGTGCTCGTCCTGAACTCCATCATATTTGCGAAGTTCACTCAGCGTCATGTCTTGCTTCGGTAGAGGCTTTACCTAAACATTACGCCTGCAACAAGCTTTTGACCATCTCGTTTTGGACACCGTCGTCTTTTACTGATAGAAATCACCGAATCACATATTTTTTACATACTAAAATTTCTCTTTCCGAAGGCGTAAGTAGTGTAAAATGTGGCAGGCCAACTAAGCCTTCTACCCATCGGAGACTTTAAACTGGTAGCAGGTTTTTCTGGGAGTGTAAGAACACTGACTTGAAAGACTGCATTCTAAGCCAGTACAAATGGAAAGTAGATTAGGCGTGCCGCATCCCATAAAGGGATTAATCAGCGGCAAAGACTTTACCCTTAGCCTTTTATTTCACCTCTTCTAAGTCTTCGCGTATTCTAAGGAGAAATATCCTATGAGTCAACCTCTGAATGCAAACCTGGCGCGAGCGAAGAAAAAATACGCGTGATTACAACTTCCTTATTAGGAAAGCAGCGCTGTTCTGATAAGACGGGATGTTTTATTAGCAGAAACCCAGACAAGAACCACAATAAAAATTTTCTTAGGCAGTTTGTTTTCGGGAGAAAAGGACTGTAACTTCTGTGAGGCTACAAAATGTCACTTGTTGTAATTTCCGATCCCCTTTTTTTCAAAATAGTTCACCCTCACTGGCGTTCCTTTAGACCATCACACCGGCAATCGCACAATCTTATCTTTCTGCGCCGCGTGCCGTCCAGCCTAAGACAAAATACATCTAAGGTAATCTCGTACCATTCCGTGGCATTGCGGCAGTTAATTGTTCTCCACAAAATAACTCGGCACGTTGACACGAACTAACCGGATCCCCCATCCTGCCCTCTTACCACGACATTTTTTTCTTATTATGGAGGGGTGGTGTGAAGAAACGACTGGATTAGGACTTCTGCCTAGGCGAATAGGGGAGGGCGCTGCAGGGTGTGTGAAACACTCCTGCTGCACTTTGGCTTAGTGCCAAAAACCATCGCGTCTCAGCTGCACCTAAAAAAGCGAGAGGTTTCCTCGGAACGAGAAACAACTGGGGAGGGGGGGGCGTAAATTGAAGAAATAACCCGAAAGCAATAAAGAGTTGCAATTACGGAATTAAAAAGATAATCAGAAAGACTATAAACACTAATTTTACACAAATTTCAGTTGAACGGCTAACGAAAAGAACATACTTCGGGAAGCTTCGGCTGTGTGACCTCTGGTTCCCCTCTTCTTCTCAACCATCTCCAGAACAAGACGATCAGCAGAGCCAGGAGAACCCAGTCCAGGGCAGTCATTTCCAAGACGGACGCAAAATCCATCACTCAAGTTGTTTACCTACAAATGATTTCTCGTTGATGTTCGCTAATCTTTTCACAATGCAAAAACACACACTGTAGAACAAACTAATTTTTTATGATCTAGTACGGCCCTACTGGTTAGTAGAGTTCAGATATGCTACACAGAAAGAATATTAGTTACGGAGGCATTCAGCTGTATGCCGATCGAACCAAACTGAATCATGCGCATAATCAACTGTGAGAACTGGCACAGCGGTATGCATAATATGCGAACGCCGGCCTATTTTCACACCGTAGAAGTTCTTCAGTTTCTATCGGTACGTGACAGTTCGCGAGCTACGGGTTCATCCAGTCAACGCATGGCATGGCGATAAGGCAAATGGGTCATTTAGATTGATTTTGATCGCAGACCCCAACTGTAACGCTGTATCAAGTAAGATCCTCATCTTCAACTTCAGCTAAGTTCACCTGCTCCTTTACCTCCATTTGT